AACAGTTTTATGAGTCTATTGCTTCAAACCATCTGTAAAGACAAATTTTTCCACTTTATGTGGAAAAATGCCTGCAAAGCGTTTATGCCTGCAAAGCATTTCTGATTTTCAGATGTTTTCAGAATTAATTTGCAGAATCTCTATTCTACGAAATGCATAAAAATGGGCTAAGGTTTGTTATTATGAATGTTTGTGCGTTTGTTATTATGCTGTAACTCCTGAAATGCAAACATTTAGAAGATATCTCAAAATGTTTTGTTTAACCATACAATGAAAATGGAGAGGAAAGCGGCTCTATCTGTAACTGCACCTTAGTCCATTGCAGCTGCATATTCAGAAGCATATAATTGTTTAAGGCATTATCTTTTTTCTGCATAAAAGGAACTAGGCTACTTGCAAATTGCGGTTCCTGAGCCAAATCCAACATGCCATGATGCTATAAGAGGATTTGCAAATTTTAACTATCTCATCCATTAGAAAACATAAAGATCAACTTGAGTATCTAAGCTGAAACACAGCCACACTTGAGCTTAGTTATTGTATTCAGAAGTTCAGTACATCAAACACAGACATCTAAACCTCAAATAGTTTGTAAGTAGCGCAATGGCTGAAACCACAAAATAATTTATTTTCAAAAAGCAGAGTTACAATTTAACCCAACCAACCATAGAATTAAAAATCATTATTCATCTCAAGAAATGTGTTTAACGGGAAAAATGGAAAAGCGGTTGTGAAATACTTCTGGCCACCAGCAGTAAAGCTGACTATAAATGCCTGTCTGCTTAAGAACTATTTTAACATTCTTGACAAATATTTGCAGTTATTGTTAACAGGGGTAGGAACCTTCGAGGTTGCTCAAATTCCAGACCAATATTTCTTAAACCAAAAGATTTATGGCTCCACACTGTAATGAATGTGATGAAAGTAATTTGTCTCACATCTAAGAATATGCAAGTCACCTCGACAGGACCAGGTTGAAAGCTACTTAATGGTGCACACAGGAAACCGAACACCTGACAACTGTGCAGTGAATACTGTTCAGGATTTCGAGATATGGCAATGGGCACTGAAAAAAACAGTGACAGCTTGAAATCCTGGACAAATACACTGTCTTCAAATTTTGGCTGGACACAATCCCAATAGGTGACAATCTTTCAGGTTTCCCTGGTTTCTTTCAGGTTTTCTGTGCCATAGGAGCAACAAACTTTAAGGCAAGAGAGAAGAAAAGGCATCTGAAAAGTGTTTTAAGGGGAAAACCGTCAGCTCCTTTTGCTACTTAGGCTTACAATGAGAATTCCAAGGTCAAGAAAGCACTGGTAGAGGAAGCTTTCTGCAACAGTAATATTTAAAAAGCCATCTGCTAAATGGTCCAGCACACCTTCTATGTCAGTAAATGAGTGTCAACAGATGTACTTTTTTAACTGAAAGATTTCCCGAACTCCAGTTTACTACACTATACTGACCAGCAATATCAAAAGGTGCCAGCAGAATTATGAAACCCAGGAGAGGTTAACCTAACAGCAACCAAAAGAATCACCTACCTACAATTTCCTTTTCCAGGAGGTGTACCATAAAACAGGCACACTTTGCATCCTCTATACAGAACACATTTCCTCCATATTTTCCAATAGAAACACCTCTATCCTGAGAAGTCTGAGAGTTGAGGGGGTTAGCACATGTACATACAACACTTAAACTACTCCTCGCTGCTGTTTTGTAGATGATGGAAAAACAGATTCCTTAGTGCTTCTGTGGTCACCCAGTAGCACTGCAAAAGCAGTATTGCCGTTGCTAGTAAAAGATCACAGGCCTTACGCTAACTTTACCTTCTGCTGGCATTGCAAGACTCTAGTCTTGGCCTATTAGGCTTGTTGTGAGCTTGTTAAGAACTCAAAAACGGAGCTTGGTATCAGGTTTCTCTTGTCACAATGCAGAGTTTATGTTTGGGATAATAGCTAAGGTCTTGAAAACATGGACACAGGACTATAAAAAAAAATCACTGATGGTCCATTACTAGTCACTGAAATAGCTTAAACTTTGAGAGCTGGGCAAAGACTGCTTTACACATAACAAGAAAAAAGGAGCTAAGCATGAAAAACCCAGATGAACCAACAGAGTAAGGCATCTGGCATGGCTTGGAAAAGAACATTCTCAGGCATTGTGCAGTAGGCCAGGGGGCAGATGCCAAAGGCTAAGAACAGTCTAGAAATACAAAACTTCTTATGAAAAAGCAAAATTTTGATTGGGAGTGGCATAATCATTGCAGGAATCATCACTGCAGGACCACTGTGGGACTGCCACAGTTACAAGTATGCCTCTTTCTGTCCCTGTCTTCTTGGACTCTTTTCTCTCCCTGCCTGCTCCAATAGCATCAGCTTTCCCTCTCTTCCACCTACCTAATTCTTCAAGGATCTTTTGACCGGTCAGCTAACTATCCAGGGCTACATGCAGCTTTTTTTTTTTTTCTCTAAAGATAGTTCAAAAGAATGTATGCACGTTGCCTTAATTCTGTTGATAAACTTATGAGAGAAAATAAGAAACAAAGTGGTACCTTTATCCTTTTCTCTAGAGGCATGTTCATAGTAAGCTGTCATTCTTAGCAATTAAAATTATTTACTTAAGTCCAATCACTAAACAAAAATGTTAAAAAGGTAAAATGTAAACATGCAGGCAATCCAGGTTTCACAGCCAATTTCTGTGAAAGAAAATGACCTTGGACAGGATGCATAGTTCCGCTTGCAAAAGCAGTCCATAACTGCTACAGGGTAAAAGACCATCATCATTGCAACATCTGGTAGGAACATGAGGCCTTGAGAAAGGCTTGTATCCATGAGACCTGTATCCATTGTAGGTAGCAAGTCTAAAAGATGTTAGTCTATAGAGAATAAGGGAGTCTATAGAGAAAATCCAGCAGAATTCTAGTACTGTACTGGAGCAGAAATAGAAGCCTATGTGGAAACAGTAAGAAAAAATCACTAGACAGTTGTTGGCTTTTGTAATCAAGAGATGTCATCTAGGAAAGCAGGACTACTGGTGAGAGTAGTAGTTTGGGTATGCCTGCCTAAAAAGAAAAAAATAATTCTCTTCTCTTAGGAAGCAAATCTAGGGGGTTACTAAAAAGGACTTCTATAAGAAAAGTTTCAGATGTAAAGCATAAAAAAGGTGAAGATCAACATGTCTGCTCGGCTCTTTAGATATGCGGAAATCAAAATGGAAACACAGAAAAGGTAGATGCAAGTACTTGCTATTTTGAATTAAGATAAAGACAAGGCACAGGCAAGGAAGCATAAAAGCTAAAGTGTAAAAATGAATTTACGGTTAGCAAGGAACACAAATTGCAACAACAAATATGCTTCATATTAAAAGCAAGAAGAAAGGAAATATAGGACCTTAATGGGAAAGAAGCAATATGCTCTATGGAAGATTGAAATACTCAGTTCCTTTTGTGTACTGCCTTCATAAAAATGGTGATGTCTGATCACAAACTGATACGTATTAAGTCTGTAGGGCCTGAGGGTAAACTAAATTTAGTGCATCCTTAGAGAGCTAGATGAACAATCCGTGAATTATCACTGATCATTTCTGCAAACAGATTAAATTGGAGGTTAGAGAATACCAGAGGGTTGTGATGGGGAAAGCAGAAAATATATCTTTTAAAAGGGCCAAAAAAGATGATCCAGGGAATCTGTATACCAGTGAAATTTCCATTCCTACATAAGCATTAAAACCAATTATTAAAAAGACTACTTATAAGCATCCAGAAGATATGAAAGCTGTAAAACAAGCGCTAACATGAATCTGCCAAGAACATGCTTTCGTCAAAACAATACAATTTCCTCCTCTAACTGAACAGCTTGCCTAATGGGCACAGCAATAGATATTAACTCTGAATTGTAGCAAAGCTTAGCAAAATGTTTTGGTGCTATCCCATGCTACATTTCCGTTAGCGACCTCTGGAAAATTAATTATATCAGGGCAATGTGGTTCAAAACTAAAACTCAGTGTCCATATTAACATTTTATTATCAAAGTGGAAAACAAGTGGTTATAATTCATTTAATTGCTAGCTTAGAAAACATAATAGAATATACCCACATGGAATTTGCAAAGGCTAAGTTAAGTCAAAAGCACTTTGTAAGCCAAAAATTAGAAGTCAGAATCAGCTTGATAATTGGAGAAATTGTTTAAAAATCAACAAGACATAAAATTGCAAAATAATGGAAGAAATCAAACAGAGAAATACAAAATGGGAAAAGAACAGCTAGGCAGCAACACAGTGAGAACAGATTTGGTGATTACATTATTGCAAACTAAATTTGTATCAACCCTGCGATACTGTGGGGAAAAAAAAAACACCTCAAAAGTATGCATTTTCAACCTGCATCAGTCTAATAAAATATTCACTGTTCTTATAAAACAAGTTTGCCTTGTTGTTATCCTTAGATGATAGAAGAGTTAATTCAAGCACTAAATTTTCACAAATACATTCTTAGACACCTGGAAAGTGCATACCAAGCATGGGAAAAAAAATCACACATTCTTCTAGAGAAATCTATTTACTTGCCTGTAGCATTCCTGTTAATTCTGATCTCTATGTACCTTACACGTAAATAGTAAATTACTATTTTGAAAATTTGTCCTTGGATATTCATAAGAAAATATTTTTAAATAAAATTTTATCTACATTTTCCTCAGCCATAACCATTTCAATATAATATTTAATCATTTAATATTTGAATATACTAAAATATTTACACTTTCTGTTTCTTAATGCATACTTACTTTTCACATTCTCTATCATGTTTTAATGGTTGTAGTAAGTAAGATTAGGAAGCATTCCTTACGTGTTTAAATAAACAACCATTGACATAAAAATCAAAGCTTAAAATTAATATAGCAGATTCTAATTAGCAGAACAGAAATCTACTGTAATAGGGCTTTTCTCAAATCAAGGTATATTAATTGATATATAGTAGCACAATATCCTGTTCTGAGTCTTACCATTAATTACTGGGGTATAAACAACAATTCCAACCAAATTAGGATCAGATACAGTTGTGTCCAGAATAAGGCCACCAATACTGAAAGACAAATTACAGTATTTAGAACAAGGCAAGTAAGTGCATTAATTAGTATTTTAAAACTTTCTTTAGCAATCTGTCTCAGAACATCTTCAAGCCGCAATTTTCTTCTCAATTCATTGTTCTCCCCACCTCATTATCTCAGCTCAAACTAACATCGCTGTAGTTATTTATATATTAAAATCGACTTCTTGTATAACAAAGCCCATAGAATTTCAGCCAATCACTCCAATTTTAAGACTCATAACTTTCTTTGGATTAAATAACCTCTTAGACCAGTGTATAATCTTGATTGGAAACTGCAGGAGATTAATAGCTCACCATTTCCTCCATTTGATATGGCACACTTCTGCTCAGTTGTTGCCACAGACCACTGCTGGCTCCCTCACTCATTCCCACCTGTGACTCAACTTTGTAACTTCCTCATTTTAGGAAGATTAAAGTTTATTCACACTCTACATTCTAGAGGCTCCTTAAACGTTTCTTTTAAGTACAATCAGGTGTTAAATAAGAGATATAGAGACACAGGATGACTATCAAGATGAAGCAAGACAAATAGACTTACCTGCTTATAACCATGGCAGTTATAACAGGCTCCCATCCTGAATGGAGAACAGTTCTGGTAGCTGGGTGTTTGGCAGCTATGACAATCCCCATCGGAGTCAGAACCAAAAAAAAGGCACCAACCAAGGGAGATATATAGTAATATGTCTCTAAAATAATAATACAGGGAAAAAAAATTATTTTATTTTCAAGACAGTCTTATATGTTTTTTACCTAACTTAGAACTCTAAAATAAATTATGATCTACATCATGCAATTGAGGAATTTTAATACGCTTTATCACTACTGTTCCTAAAGTTTCAACTACAGCACTAAACAATATGGTTAACATGTGCCATCTGCGATCACTGTCTCCCATCTTCTCAAGGACAGAACTATCTGCACAAAGAAGGAATTTTGAAGAGGATTTTTGTATGATGCTTTATGATAAAAATGTGGAATACGAAATGTTATTTTGCAACATAGCTACAAAAAAAAAAGGAAACTGAATATACTGAAAATGTATTTTGTTTATACAGAAATTCATAGCATATGTACACCTCCTTTTTTACAAAGCACAGATAATATGGTAATCTTCCCAGAAATAGCATATCTAAAATAAGGCAAGCACAATGTGTAATAGTGAGGCACATATATCTGTAGCTCAGTTGCTTTATAACCAGTCTGAGTCTGAAAATTCAGTCACAATTCTGCTTCTTGCACCTATCCATCAGAATTACATCATATTTCATAGGAACACAACTGCAAACACCAGTGAGTATCATCATAAAGCCAAATTTATAATGCAAACAGCTGCCTCCATAGAAAGAATACTATTTTTTTCAGATTACTTTATAATCCCATCCACACAGAAGCTATTACAGTGATCCAAGACTTCCTAATTCAACAGTAAGGTAAATACTGTTAAAAAAAATGGAAAATTTATTCTAATGGTAAATATATAGGGACAAAAACTATACAAACATTCTACTTTTACATATATTTAGTTTTACAAGAAATGTGGTCATATATTTAATATTGAATACATTTTGTCTAAACATTCAGAATTTGGACAAGTCTTAATGCAAAATATATCTTAAATTAACAGGTTGAAGTAGCTAATGTAGAACACACAAACACTTTACCAAAGAAGAATATTTAGTATATTAAAAAGCATTCTTATCCATGTATTGTGGTTTATTACAAAGGCTGCAAATTCAAGCAATTACTACTTTGATGTTATCTTGGTGGAGCTAAAATTACTCCTGGAAGAATTGCTGTCGAGTTTTTAGAAGTTACTATCCTTCTGCATTAATTGGGAACAACCTCTGCAGCAGAGCCAGCAGAAAAGATAGTAAGATACCTTTCACTGGGCAAGCTAAAAGTAGAAAGCTATTAGAATGAGAATGAGACAAAGCCCAAAAGAGAAATAACTTTTTTCCTTTCCTTATCTAACCATTCTATAGTATATTATCTTCTTCTTCCTTTGTGGTGTCTTTTTTTCCTCCTTTCTCCTCTTTCTGTGGAGGTGGGCCTAATGTAAAGAGTTCTTACTCAAAAGAGTACAAACATAACATGATTGATGCCTTTATTTGATATAGTTTTTTTTTATCAAACCTAATAAAAAAGACAAAAATGTACTGATGTAAAGTTCTGAAACTACTTACTGCCCAGGTAAATGGATCCTTCCCTCCACGTGCAATGAAGAAAGGTCCCTGTGTGCACTAAAACTGGTCACATGGAAAGCCATCATTTATTCTACATCTGTCTATTTAAAATTTTGAAACTTGTCTCCTTTTCTCCTCTTTTTTCCTCCCTTCTCTTTTTTTTTTCCCCTTCAAGATATACACCATACTGTATCCCTGCTACTTTTTCTTTCTCCCTCTCTGTTCCTCTCATAGGGAACCAAGGAGAGGCATTGGCATGTATCAGATGCCCAATAACTGATTTAAAGGTCAGAAGGAGAGAATAGCTCTAATGTAGAATATTTAGTAAAACACAAAAGGGCACAAAATAAGTTCCAAGTCTTTGCCATATTTTTGAAGACATTGACAATTTTATTAAAAGGCAGCGTCTGCTCAGCAAAGATCCTCTGTTACAAACAAACATTGAACAGCAAAATACAGATGCAACAGTGAGCAGCACCCTAATTAATCACTACTTTTTTTTAATTCTTTCACTTGCACGTTAACAATTAGCCCACTATACTCTTTATTACAGTACTTCTACCGACACAGAAAAGGAAATTAAAGTTCAAAAAATGTACGCCTTTTACAACAATTTTTTTTTCAATCCCACTAACAACTAAAGAACTTGTTGGAATGTGTTCATGAAAAAAGGGAGAGTATTTAGCTATCTGCACCAGTCTCCAAGCTTGGACAGCTAGTCCAAGAATGCAGTCCTAGAATTACAAAAGAACATTAAAAATAAGTAAAGTATATCATATAATTCCTTTCTTCTGGAGAGGACAAAAAAAAAGGACACATAGATAAAACTTAGTTCAGCAAATGAACAATGAACACTAACCAATAATTATTTAATAGGTAACTTCTACATAAATAATAACTACATAAAATATAAAATATACACACACATGTCATCCCACCACAGAAATGTTTTGCAAGAAGTTTTTAAAAAAGGAAAAAAAAATGAGAAAACAGCCTCGCTAGAGTATAATGATTCATGAATTATAACCAAAATAAATATAATTTATATCTGCAGTGCAACAGGACCATTTCAGAAATCAGCAAGTAGCCAGAAGCAAGGGCAGCTTTACAAATCTTAGAAAACATGACTAACCCATGGCTAATTATCAAAACTTTCACTAGTTGAATTCAATATATTTTAAGTCAGTTAACAGCAGCTAGAGGAAAAAAGGAAACATGCATCCATAAAATGACACAAGCTGTCATTTTTACAGCAAACAAAGCAAAAACTAGATGAACTTTCAGGAGGGTGAGTATGTGTTTTACAGCAATAAAACCAAAGTGCATAGTGTTATAAAAGTCAATGACATGAAACAAAATGCAACCAGTGGTTTTGTTACACTAAGATAGGACTTTCAAGACTACTCAGCAATGACTTAGCTTTGTTCATCTGAATCAACAGCAAGTGAGAGGTGTTAATTTTTTGGCCTTATTGTTCAACGTTTTAGTATGTATAAATGTCTTAATTTCACCATGGAGAAAAGTACAGAGAAAACTTACAAAATAGGTTTAATGCCCAAGTCCTTTAAATGGAGTTGGATATAAAATCCATTATAAAAGCTACTCCATTGTTGCAATACTGTCATAAGTTTCTTCTTCAAAAGAACAAAAGCCAGGAGTGGCTCTCAGGAGCGAGGGATCTCCAAGGACAGGACAGTCAGAGCTTAGATTCTTTTTTAAAAAACCTTCTGCTATGATAATATACTAGCACTTCATTGGGATTCTTTATTCTAAAGTGCTAGAGGGAATGATGAATAAAGAAATAAATAGGCCACCAACCATCCCCATGCTCCTAAACAAGGAGAAAATCAGGTATACATATTCATCTGTTTACGAACTTTAGACCAGACAACTGAAATTCACCCTGTCCAGGTTTTTTTAAGGTAAAGATGATGTAAAAATTAAGGTAAGGCAATTGCTCCCTACCAGAATTTCCAATTCTACTGCCGATCTATTAAGCTGAATTAAAAATAGAACTACAGAAGCAATTAATAGTTTAGAATTATATTACAGAATCTGTCACAAGTGAGCAATGATAGACTTCAGTTACCTACAGGACCAGTAAAACTACTCCAGTCTAACTCTTGGCAACAGAGTGCAGGACTGGTTCTTTTACCTATGGAAGATTCTACTTGTAGAACACCTTACTACAAGAATCTAAAAAGACGTTAACCTTGAGTTGCAGCTTTTAAGGAAGAGTGGGCAATCTTCCTTGTCATATTTAATTCACAGAATAAGAAAATGTATTCTTTAATAGCTGGAGAATGGGAAGAGAGAACAAATGCCTCCTCTTTTAGGGCTCACTTCACTCCATTTTTGATAGATTTATAGCAGGTAGCTTACATGGTAAAAGGAATCTTGTTCAGCCTGGCTCTTCTATAGAATTTGTACCATCCTACAGTGGAAGATCAACTCCTAAAAGCACTCAACTCTTCAATGAAGTCATGACTGTGACCTTAAATTAAAAAAGGAAGGAAAGAAAAGGAAAAAGACAAGGTTCTCAACTGAGTCCTTACTGATCTTCACTTACTTTAAGCCCTCATCCTTAAGTAGACAGTGATATTGTACGGGGTTTGCGTGGCAAGGTTTTGGTACTGGTGAGGCTACAGTGAGGAAGCTGCTAGAATCTTCTCCTATGTTCAATAGAGTCAACGCCAGCCAGCTCGAAGAAGGACCTGCTGCTGGCAAGGCTGAGCCCATCAGCAATGGTGGTAGCATCTCTGTGATAACATAGTTAAGAAAGGGGAAAAAAACTCCATAAGGGCAATCACAGCTGAAGAGAGGAGTGAGAACATGAGTGACACAACTCTACAGACAGCAAGGTCAGTGAAGGAGAAGGAGGAGATGCTCCAGGTGCTGGAGCAGAGATTCCCCTGCAGCCTGTGGGGAAAACCATGGTGAGGAAGGCTGTTCCTCTGAAGCCTATGGGGGTTAATGGTAGAGTAGAGATCCACCTGCAGCCCACAGAGGATCCCATGCCGGAGCAGGTGGATGCCTGAAGGAAGCTGTGACCCCATGGGAAGCCCATGCTGGAGCAGGCTCTTGGCAAGATCTATGGACCCATGGAGACAGGAGTGCATGCTGGAGCAGGTTTGCTGGCAGGACTTGTGACCCTGTGGGGGACCCACACTGGAGCAGTTTGTTCCTGAAGGACTGCACCCTGTGGAAGGGACTCATGCTGGAGCAGTTCATGAAGAACTGTAGCCCATGGGAAGGACTCACATTGGAGAGGCTCGTGGAGAACTGTCTCCTGTGGGAGAGACCCAGCGCTGGAGCAGGGGAAGAGTGTGAGGAATTCTCCCCCTGAGAAAGGAGTGTCAGAGACAATCTGTGATGAACTGACTGCAACCCCCATTCCCTGTCTCCCTGTGCCACTGTGGGGGAGGAGGTAGAGAAAATCAGGAGTAAAGCTAAGCCCAGGAAGAAGGGAGGGGTGGGGGGAAGGTGTTTTACGATTTAGTTTT